GGGGGGGGGGGGGGGGGGAGGGAGGGAGGGATACACACAACACAAAAAAATTGTACTTCAATGTCTTAATGATTGACAAATGATGACATATTTGTGTTTTTTTTTTAAAGAAAAATAAAAAAGTTGAATAACAACAAAAAACCCAAAAAGGAATGTGGTAGCATTTTTTCCAACATCTTTTATTAAAAGGCGAGAGTTTAGGCCTTTCTGTAAATAAACAAACGTGAAATAAAACAATCCCCTCGGATGAGCTTTTAAAAAAATTGCTTAACTCTGTTTTGCTCCAGGTTCCCCTTGGCCTGGCTGACACTAAGGGAGGAAACAAGTCCTGACCCAGAAACCTCCCAGTCAGGGCACTGGCATTCCTGGAACTCAATAATCCGACTTCCTGGACTGATTTGAAGTGCGAAGGCTTTGCCCAAATTCTGCCCTTCTGGAGATCCTCTAAGCTCCTTAGAATTTTTTGTAACCTTGATACAGAGACAAATTCCAATGTATCAGTGACTGGGAAGGAGTCTAGCCCAAGTGTTTCTTCTTTGAGGGAGGCAGCTTGGTAGTGAGATTACTGAATAAGATGAGGCAATACAACAGGTTGTGGGTAGAGCTGTTGAGACCCACTTGGGGCAGCTACAGGACACGATCCTTGACACTCAAGTTATGGGTATACCGCTATAGCTCCTTTTCAGTGCCCATGTCCCCAAACGGCAGGTGTGCATGGAGACAGGGATGCTCTTTGGGGGGAGTGTGTGAGTGTGTGTGTGTTAGCAGTGTTCTGTTCGCCCCTTGGGAGTCCAGCCTTGTAACTTTTCTTTTCTTTTGAGCTTTAGATGGTCTGGGAGGAAACTGAATATATCTATTCTCATTCACATTTTGGAATGAAAAATCATTTGTGTGATGCCTAGATGATGGGAGTGGAACCCTGCTGTTTTGACAAAGGTCTCAGGGTTTTAGATGCCATTAGTGATGTCTTGGTATCTTTCACAGGTCAAGACCTAAATTTGCTTTGTTGTAACCCAATGTGTGGTGTGTTCCTGAATAGAATTCTTTCCCAGAACTACAGAAGAACATAACTGCAAGTCCTTTTCAAAGAAGCAGACTTCAATTCTGGATCTCTGCATTGCTGGGGCAGGAAGAACAGGGACAACTTTTTAAGCACCAACTATGTTTAGTCAACAAAGGGGTCGGGTAGGTTTTCACAGAATTACACAAGCATTCAAAACAAATTCCTGTAACCAAGAACTATTATGGAAGAGCAGGTTCTAAGTCTTTATTTACAACCCTGTGCTCCATTTCTGAGAACCTTTGTTGGCAGGAAGAGGGCGAGGCAACGGCCTCCAAGAGAGCTAAACTGAGCCCTGCTTCTTCTCACCCTCCCCACCCCGGCCCTTAGATCAGCCCAGCAGTCTACTTTCTGCACAAGGCTGATCTACCAAAAAGCTGCAAATCTAAACAAGGGAGCAGCCCCCTTCAATAACTAATTCACAGCAGCCGCCTCTACCCTCAGCATAATCCAAGACCCTGAGAAATTGGGCAAGGCAGCTGCTCCCACTCTGCTCCCACTGCCTGGGTCTTGACTTGGATGCTCACAAGAGGGGAAGAGGGAGGCAGACCACTATGATACAGAGCCAGCCAGCAAGTCTGGGCTGCAACCATTTGGCTGGCTTTCTTTTGGGGCACATCTGTCAAAGGATGGACTGCAGGGATTTGCTTCCTTCTGCCACTGCTCCTGATGGCACCCTTGAGCAGCATAACCCTTGATCCCCCAAGCACGGTCCTGTGCTGGTAAGCAGGCCCAGCGCCATTTCCCCTAAATCATTTCTCAATCCCTGCAATGGCTCTCAGCGCTTCACTCGCCGCTTCTCCAATTCATCTTGTACTCGTTGCCGAAGGGCCTCGTGCAAAGCTGGCTCCAGCTGGTTCTGGGCACTGACCTTCTCCACCACTTCTTCGGGGTCATTGTCCTGCGCCAAGAAGCATAAGAGTCCATTAGGAAGCACCCTGCTCAGATGGCCAGGCGTAAGTGTTCCCAAGCATCTCGTTTGGAATTATAAAACACACTTTCATAAAGCTTCCGGGAGTTTAATAAATACTTTTCAGTCTTTTTAGAAGTAAACCATGAAAATGGATGATTTTGCTATCAAACCTCACTGGCGTAAACTTCAAGTTGTGTTGGTCACCAAAAGGCGGATAAAGCTCGCTTGCTTTACTGCCAGCTTGCTGCTTTTAAAAGCAAGACTAATTTATAAAGCAAAAAACCAAATACAGCAGCAGAATAATAAAAGCTTGATGGAAAGTTTAAAAAATCATTTACTGTCAGGAAATATAATATACATATAGTAGCAGCAGAGCTATGTGAATCAGTTTTGTCAAAATGTTTCCTTAAACAGGCTCTTGGCTAAGAGCCTGAAAGCTCCCATTTCTAATATGGCTACTCCCAAGAGGTGGACAGATGTTCAGCAATGGGCTCAAACCAGATGCAAAGAAAGCTGGTTCCAAAATATTAATTTAGAAAATGGTTGTGCCATTCTCTTGATGACTGAAACAACACAGCAAAGTTAGCTCCCTTTAAAAATTAAAAAATACACAGCACTGGCCTTTAAAAGGGAAAGTCGTATTTTGATGCTCCTCTTAAATTGTAGTGAGAAAAGGGCTTGCTGACTCCCCCATTGGCCAGTCCTTCCATGCCGAATGTATGGAGGAGTGGCCCATAGAAGGAGCCCGTCTGAGAACTGGGAGTATAACGCTATAAAAGGGGTTTGAGAGTGCAACTGTTTATCACCATCATGAAGTCCTGAATTTAGTTTGGAAGACAATCTACAACCTGTGAAATTACCTGGGCATGCGGAATCCTGGGAGGTCCACATTATCACACTGCTGTGTTCAAGGGCTGCCCCACAACAGTATCACCGTAATCCAGCCTAAAATCCGTGAGTCTCAAAAGCTGCGTCCTTCACCTCCAGCAGAAAGGTCAACGGAGGCCTCACTGCTGGTGGTGGGTCGGTGCTGGTTGTGACAGGCCCCAAGTTGGCTCTGGGCCTTTGGCTTTACTAAGAAGATTCTGGAGGGCTTTATTTGGCCTGTCTACTACGCTGATGCCATGTGGTTGTAATAGTCTGTTTGGGGGGGGGGGGCTCAGCCATGAGCTACAAATATTATCTTTTACCATTCACTAGACGAAAATTCATTATATTTAACTATTGAATTGTTTAATATTTATTACCCATTTTCGCAAAGCCTGCTGGAATAGGATGCCCAGGCCGCCATGGAGGGTAGGACTGTTCCAGCCAATGCAGCGTTGAAAACACAAAGCGGCCATGAAAATAAAATTTCAACCTTGTCTTCTGGTATTGAGTTCCCTGAATTTTGCCCAGAGAATAGCAGCCTTTCCCAGCATTCAAGCCATTGGGTTATTTAGCATAATTCGCAGAAGCAAGGAGGAGGAGGCAATAAAAGGGTCAAAACCCAGGACTTGGAGTGGGGCTGACCAGAGGGCATCTGGACGCTCCTCCTCAGCCAGAGAGCAGCACAAGCCCCCTCCCAACGAAACATTTTCCCATCCAGCCCAGAAGAAGGGGGGCGATTCGGCAGCACCCCCAGAAGAGCGGGGGAGGGGAGGCAGCTGGAGAGCCGCGGCTCCTCCTCGCCCGGCCGCCTACCTGGTAGACCACCACCGAGGTGACCTGGCCGCCGTCGGCCTCGTACTCCAGGCAGAAGAGGGCCGGGCCGCGGGGGCGCCGCTCGCGGCTGCTGGAACTGCTCTCGCTCGACGCCTCCGACTCGCCCTCGCCGCCGCCGCCGCCTCCTCCCGGGGCTGTTCCGACCGCGCCTGCAAGGGAGGGAAGCGCCAGGGGGGCTCGGGGACCCCCTCCCTCCCCTTCCCCCACCGCTGGACTCACCTCTGCGGCCGGCGCGATAGACCTGCTGGTCGGGCCTGCGGGGCCGGGGGGGCGCGGGGGTCAGTCTCCGCCGCAGCTGCTCCTTGGCCTGCTTGACTTGCCGGTCGTAGTCGTCCCTGCGCGGAAGGGAAGAGCCGGTGGGAGCAGCCCCTACTCCCCGGGAGCTCAGCGCCCCCCCCCCCCCCCCCCCCC